TCGAGTCCCGCATCGGGCTCCCTGCTCAGCAGGGAGTCTGTTTCTCCCTCTGACCCTCCTCCCTCTCATGCTCTCTGTCTCTCATTCTCTCTCTCGCAAATAAATAAAATCTTAAAAAAAATAAATAAATAAAAAATAAAGCTTTTAGAGAAACCATAGGAAAATATCTTAACAAACATGGCAAAGGCAGATATTTCTCTCTTTCTTTTTTATTATTTCTTAACTAGGACACAAAAAGTCCTAATTAGACAAGAAATAAGCTAATTGATAATTTCTATTCATCAAAAGACACCATTAGGGGAGTACTAATAAATCCACCAAATGCTTTAATATACAATATAAATATCTAGTGGTATGCCAGAAAATGTTTAGCAACTAGCTTTCCCATTTTTTTAATGTCTGCTAGTGTGTGTGGTGTAAAAATTTCTACCATGGCAGATTTTCAAAGTACCAAGCAGCTCTCAAAATTCCTGACAATTTAGCAGTTGGCTCCTGTGAATCACTTTGAGCCAGCTCCATTACAGAGGATTCAATGCCCACATAATTTTCATTATATATATATATATAATGAAAAAGGATACATAGTATAATAGGAAAAGGGCAAGTCTTAACACTTCAAAAAGGAGAATATTCATATGATAAATAATCATCACAAATATGACAAGTAATCGTTAAAAAGTGTTTAATGCCATCAATCTTCAAGATATTCAAATTAAAATATTTCTATAAACACCAGAATGGCTAAAATAGAAGGATAAAAAATTCTAAATGTCAGTGAGTATTTGGAGCAACTCAACTCTCACATCCTGCTTTCAAAAACCAATACAACCTCTTTTGCAAACTATCAGTGTCTACTAAAGCAGAACATATGCATATCCTATATAGCCAACAAAATACATGCATGTGTTTCCTAAAAGACATGTTCCGGATGTCCATATAACCTCTATTCATAAGAACCAAAGTCTGGAAGCTACCCGAATGCTTATAAATGGAATAAAGGATCATAATTTGGTACATTCACATAGTTGAATACTACACAGCTATGAAAATGAGTGACTTATCACTGCATATAATCTTACAAATATAATGCTGAGCAAAAGAAGCAAAATAATAACTACTGTATGACTTCATTTATAGAATGTAAAACAGGAAGTAATCTATCTTTCTAGAAGTCAGTATAGTGCTTATTTTCCATGGATATAGTTACCAGAAGAGTACTATGCAATGGGCTTCAAAGTACACTATTTTTTTTTTCTTAATGTGAGAGCTGATTATATGGGTGTGTTCATTTTGTTAAAATTAACTGAGACTGTATACTTAAGATATGAGCAAGATATGAGATAATAAATAATGATAAGTGCAATTTTTAAAAATATTTTGACATATTTTATAAGTTGAATTAGCTTGCGAGAAAAGTTCACTTAGGTATATTTGTAAAATATAAGTTACAACTTAACAATATTTATTGTTATTAAAATTATTGCTCTATGCACATCCAAATAATGTGTTTCATAAAAAATTTCTTCCATTATCAACAGAGTCTACTTGTTAGAGCAGGGGAATTTCCCCTTGTTTCTATGTGACACTGGTCTTTAATAATCATATGTTGAGTGTTTCAAAAAAATGTAACCAAAGCATACACCTTAGAATGCCCTGAGGTGGTTATTGCCTACAGTCACTTAAAACAACTTCTTCAAGATACATTTCAATAATGCTGCATTATCAAATTTGCAAGTTTACTCAATCACCTTTGTATTTCTGAAGATATCATTTACTCAAAAATATAAAATGTATGAAACAATTGTCCATGTTATCCACATTTTATATATATCAGTTACAAGCTAAATCTTTATTATGTTTACTATTAAAGAAGAGATAAACTGAAAATTCTCTTACTAAAATAACACAATCAAATTGTTTACTTACATTCTGTAGTTATCAGTTATAAGTGGAATCTAGATTCACATTTTTAACAAGTGTTATTGAATACATTAACCAAAGAAATTGACAAATTAATAAGGCCCATAAGATCACCTTAGAAGTTGCTGATTACTTCTTATCATTTCTATTTCCATAGTTAACATATTTTACTTTCAACTTTTTAAAGCTCCAATATCAAGCTTTCATAGAGGAATCCAATTTTGATAAATCTTGACAGGTGATAAAATAAGTTTTCCTTTCAATAACTCATTGCCTCTATTCATTGCCATCAAATGGACCTCATTATAAAAAATTTTAATATATAAAATTGTCCTTCATGTCCAAAGAACCTTTTTCAGTAGTATAAATCTTACCTTTCTGAACAATGCCTTCAAATTCACTTACAGCCGATCAAAGACTATTTCAAATGACTGTATTATTATAATCTACCCAAGAACATAAACATTTAATAGAAAATACCACACAGTTTCTTCAACATTTATGTAAAAGTATGCAAGGGAACTATGCAAATTACCTTTATATTTACTGGATATTATCAAGCAGGGATAATAAAGGAAAAAAAACCTCTAAAATTGAATGTATTAATTATAATCTTACCATAAGCTCACAGGTTAGGAATTCAGACAATAAGTTCACCACCCTGAGACCTAGAAAAGTATAAGCAAAAATATTTTCTATCAGTACAGACATCATATTTTAATTCAAGCATCACAAAATGTTAAATACTGATTCAATATTATGAAAATTTTTCATTGTATGAGTAATTAGTATACACATAATTTGACAAACAATTTTGACTAAAACATTCCTCTAAAATAGCATTATCATTACTCAGCTCACATCAAACTATTGTGATTTAAGATTAATTACTCTAGGTTGAGCTCTTTAATGCAGGGATGACAAACAAGTAGAGAATTTTTATTGTCTCCTTTGTTGCTTGTGGAACTCTGGGTGATGGGCACATTTGCAAGTGAAATTTATTTTGTAGATGTTACAGAACCTTCTCAGTTACATTCACTTAACAGTTTCAAATATATGCACACCCATACACATACACACATGCTATGCATGTGGATGCACACATATGCATATGCAAATGTGGTTATCATACTACAATCCTATATTTATCTGTCTTTTATCTGTTTAAATCAGTGGAGAATATATAACTTTCCATGAATATAAATGTTCTCTATCATAATATAAAGGCTGCATAGTACTCCATAGTTTGTTATACACCTTAAATTGTTTAAGATATTTGATTTAACAATAACACTATATCATATTGGTTAATATTATCATCTTTAAATTGAGCCTTTTAGTTGCCATCTTATGTGATCATATTTAATAGTTAATGTGCTTTCCAAGAGTTTTAATATTTTGATGCAGTGGTAACCTATTATTACACATATTTATTAAGCCCTTGAATTTGTTTACTTCTAGGTAGATTCTGCTCTATATGAACAAAAGAATAAACTGAAGATTTAATCTTTTCCATCAATGAAGAAATTAGTGGCTCTTATAAACCTTTTAGAAAACCATGAATGACTGGTATATAGGCAGGTACTCTCTTGTGTGATGTCTTACAATTTAAGTTAATAGAAGAGAGAAACCATAATAGATTGAATCTATTATGTAATGCTTTAATGAGTGGTGTTGTTTTTAAGGATATGTTTTTCTCAAAGGTATGTAATTAAAATATTCCAACTATTTTCTACTGTAATTGAAGGAAACATAATATAACATAGTTTATCTGCCAAAGAAATGATATTTAACTCTTAGGAGGAATTACTGTATGTGAAAATGACTCTGACACTAAAAGAACCACTTGAGGAGTGAAATAAAATGTTTCTAAAATCCTTCTGATGAAATGTTAGCAGGAAACAAAATATCACTATCTCTGATGTGTGAATGTTCACATTAAAATTTATTATTCTTACTCTGCCAATTGAAATGCATGTGTGGAGTAAAATTTTCAGTAATGAGTGCTCATACCTTCTTGGTCAAAGTCACCGAGCTAACTGGTGGCAAGGATTTGACTGCTTTCTGAGTCTTTGATTCTCAGTCTATTGTATTTCACTCCAGTTATTGGCCATTATTCCAGGTCTACTTGTTTCTGAGTTGGTAGACACTATTTCTTAGCCTTCCATAGATGTGTTTCCTGTACATTCCTTTTAAAAATTCCAGTGCACATGGATTAACCTTATGAACTTACTATTCATTCTCTACTGTGTTCTGCTTTTATTTTCCCTGCAGGAACAAGGAGTGAGAAGATGACTTCAAAAGATCTACTTCCTACTGATATTTGCTAAAGAGGAAGCCTTTCCCAAGAATCTAATGTGATCTGAATATTTATACTTCAACAAGTCAATCAGGAAATTACATAATGTCCTGCCCCTTCTTCCTTTTTTTATCAAGAGATGCATCAACTTAAATTTGAGGTAAATGTTAAAAGGGCTAGTGTTAGAATCTACATTTGGCTGAAACAAAGTATCACCATTGTAAAGTGAACTCCTTGGAAACAATTAAAAATTTTAATTGTTATTATTTTATTATTAAAGAATTAAAGTCAAACTTTAAGGTTTGACATTATAATACAGGAACAATAATTTCTTGCAGCACTATCAGATGCTAGATTACTCTTGCAGGCACTATGTTGTATGTTTGTAATATTAAATTGGCAATTTTAACTGAATAATAGAATTTCAATATAAAAAGCACAGAAGGAAATTTATGTTCTCCAGTTATATCTAGAATGCTTATCTATATCTGAATGTGAATATTCAGATAATAACAGTAAATCCAAAGGACATCCTTGTTTGTATTATGGGCATTGTTATACTGAGTAGATACATTAGACACTCAGACTGTATGTCATGACCCATGAGTAAATTCAGGGATTCCAGAAATGATACTCAACACATTTGGCTAGTTGGTCTTCATAACGAAAGCCAAGCCAGAGAGATGATTTTACGCATACAAGAAAGCTAAAGCAGAAATATGGCTCACCCCAATTTTAATCTATTTTTTAAAAATGATGTACATGGCCTGACTCAGGCAAGAATACTGACTATTGGGACATAATTAAAGGGGAGAAAATAAATTTTAACTTGATATAGATAACTATTTTTAGGGGAGAGATTTGAAATGAAGGATCAGTAATTAAACTGTCAGTGACAATGGTACTATGTTAGAGTTATATCATTGATGCATTTCAGGAAATTTTATTTCAGAGATAAGATTCTAGTAAATAGATTTGATCAGATATACTCCTTTCATTTGTAGTACTTGTCCATGTGGGGATAGCCATTCAGAAAGAATTTATGCTGAGCGAAGTAAGCAGACCTCAGCAAAATTGCAATTTTGGTAATTCTGAAATTCTAATATCCTAAACCTATCATATGTCTACATAGCTGTCAAAGTACCGCATAAGTCCTGAGAAATTGTACTTGAATTAGTATTTCTTTTAAAGATTTTATTTATTTATTTGACAGAGAGAGAGACAGCTAGATTGGGAACACAAGCAGGGCGAGTGGGAGAGGGAGAAGCAGGCTTCCCGCGGAGCAGGGAGCCCGATGCGGGGCTCGATCCCAAGACCCTGGGATTATGGCCTGAGCCGAAGGCAGACGCTTAACGACTGAGCCACCCAGGCGCCCCTTGAATTAGTATTTCTATAAATTAATTAAAGCTATTAATGAATACATCAATCAGATATGTGACTCAGCATTTGAAGAAATTCATGGAATTAGCATTTCAGATGGTGATTTTCTCTGATGCTAAAAAGAATTAGATGTGTTATCTCTTCCCAGCTCACTTTTGCAGGGGCGTTCAATATTTTGGAGAGAGTGAGGGGAAGTAGAACTTTAAAATGATTTGGAAACTTAAAGGTTGTGAAATCATTTTAAGTAATTATAAAAAATAGTAAATAATAGTAAATAAATTTAAAGATAGTTTGATAGGTTTAGGAAAATCATAGTTAATCAACAATGATAAATAGTACAGCGTTAAGATTTCTACACTCTATGTCATGTATCCTACATTGATATCACAAAAGTCTCTTTTAATACAATTATTTAAAATACGATTATTTAAGAGGCGCTTGGGTGGCTCAGTCGTTAAGCGTCTGCCTTCGGGTCAGGTCATAATCCCAGGGTCATGCGATCGAGTCCTGCATCAGGCTCCCTGCTCCGCAGTAAGCCCGCTTCTCCCTCTCCCACTTCCCCTGCTTGTGTTCCCTCTCTCGCTGTGTATCTCTCTTCAAATAAATAAAATCTTTTTAAAAAATACGATTATTTAAAATACGATTGTTTTCCACATTTTCAGAAAAGATGTTGGAAGCTAACAGTTGCCTGAATAAACTCCAAAATATCTTACTGCTAGTACATTGCGGAGTCAAAATTTAACCAAAGCTTAATTACATTCAGAATCCTAATTAATTCATATACCAGGGTAGGATAATATTAATAGATAGCATTTACTGAATATATTCCATATGTTGGGTATTTTGTATGTATTAACTCATTTAATTCTTACAAGTGTATCTCTATAAAAGTGAGCTGTACTTTATTATGCTTTCTTTTATTTATTTTTTAAACGCAGAGATTCTGGCCTCAGAGATTGTGGTATGAAGTATTGCATGATAATCTCTACATGTTATTTTATCATTGTGAGTGTTTTGCAAGTGGTATTTCAATGCACGTATTTACATTTTTTTTCAGGATTGGGCATCATGTACATGTAATTACACATTCATTATGTGTCTATCATCTTGGTTGGTTGGTCCTAGGTAATAATAATGATAGCATTTATTGAATATATACTGTGTCAGGAAGTATGGTAAGTGCTGTAAATTCATCTCATTTAATTCCTATAGTAGTTCTAACAGGTATAATGGTCACCCTCATCACACAGATAAGAAAATTGACTAGAAAAGTTAATAAATGTCCCCAAGAGCACAGAGTAAGTAAAAAGCATGGCTGAGTTTCAAACACAAACTCTCTCACCCTATTAGTTTGATGCAGCATAAAGATTCTGATTCTTCCAAAGGGGAGGAAGTGTGAAAGAAGTTTGAGGCTCCCATTTTAGTTCATTTAGAAAAAAAAAAAAAACTTAAAACCTCAGCTTCTTAAAGCAGAGCTCTGACTACCCCTAATTTAAAAACAAAAACAAAAACAAATCTATAAGAATAGCAAATTAAAATCCTTCCAGTCTTACAATGCCAATATATTATGATTAATTTTCTGTAGTAACAGCCCCTCAGTGTCTAGCTTAATAATGTTAAACTGAAACTATGCATTATTTATCAGACATGCCCATTTCTAGAATTTTCTGCCAATAAATTAGAGAATAAATAAGGTTTTACAAAATATGTAAATTTTCTCTAATATATGCACAATTTGGTATAGGTTATCAGAAACACTTATTTGGAAAACCAGATAGCCTTTTATTCATTTAGGAAAATGCAAATAACAAGAAAAACCGACTTTGAACTCTCACTTCTTTCAAGACTGCCAAGCTTATCATCTCAGAAATGTACTATTGTTATAAATATAGGAAAAATGTTTGGGAAAGAAAATAGGCTGTTTCAGTGAAACCTGGTGTATTTTAAATGCTCAATAAATGACTAATGAAAACTTAAATGCTCCAATAA